GAACTAAAAACATAAAAATAAACACTAGTTCGTAGTTTCTATGACAAGGAGTTTGTTACACTTTTGGAAAGATATTTAATCACCAAAAAGTGTCATTTCCGAAGAAAGATACCACGTCTAGTTTAGTTTTAAATTCGTCTCCTAAAATAGTTTATTTATGCCAAACTATTTTCTGATTTTTAAACTCTTATTTTCAAAGTCAAATTAAATTTTCTAATTTGGACGTGGCATCGTATCGAAATGATCGTCGATCCCTTTTGTCGGGTGACGCATCGATCCAAATATCGGATCCACTTTAAGTCTTGACACAACCGGTGTGTCGAAGAATATAAGATTTTTTGTAACGTCAATCCCTATCATATAGGAGACTTGGTTGATAATTTTTATTATTATTTTTTATTTTTTGTCAAACAACGACTCTTATCGGATAGGAGACTTTGTTGGAAATTATTCTTTTTTTTTATTGAATAACAATCCTTATTAGATAAGAGACTTTGTCGAGAATTGTTTTTATATATATATATATATATATATATTTTTTGTTAAACGACAAGTCCCTATCGGATAATAGACTTCATTAAAAATTTTAGATATTTTTGTTGTTGTTGTTGTTTTTTCTAATCTAAAAACACACGAAAATAAGTTCACATGAAAAATTAAAATACTAACTTTAAAGTACTTTAAAAAAAAAAAAAGAAGGAAAAAAATATGACGAGAACGAAAAAAAAAAGGCTATATATAAAAAAAAATGTTAAATAAATCAGTTGGGACCCTAGACCCACTACCCTGTACCCTATTTCTCTCATACCCTTTTTTTCCCCAATTCCATTTCTTCTTTTTTCATTCCAGTTCCTCACTTTTACCGTTCCGTTTCTTTGCGTCTTTATTCATCATTATTATTATTTTTTCCTTAGGAAAGCTGAACTAACTCTTGCTTTCTTCTAAATTTTGGAGGAAAGGGAAAGGGCTGGAGAGAAACCCGTCCCGCCTCTTTCCTCCCTATTTCTATAGCCAGGCTTGGGCTAGGTTGAAGCCAACCCAGCCATTCAGTTCGCATGGGTTGGGTTAAGCCCAACCCACATGATTCCCCTTTCAAAAAATATTAACTCATGGCTGGACCCCCAAACCCAAAACAACTTCCCCTTTTTATTTCTCTTTTTTTTTTCAGATTAGAAACAGGAATCTTAAGCTTTTGACCCTCTCTCTCTCTCGTTCATCGCCTCTGCCTTCCCTGGCACTAGCGTTCCATTCTTTTTTTTGAACTCTCACTTTACTAAAAACAACTTACAAAATTAAGATAACAAAAAGTGGTATGATTTTGGCATTAGGATTTACCTGAGATAACACCAAGGGAATGAAGGGCAATTTTTAGATGGTCGTTGCGATTGCTGTTAATTTTCGCAGGTTAGAATGATGGCTTCGAACTAGACTTGGTGAAGACGATTTGCTTGGAAATTTATGAATTATTGGGGGCTAAACCAAGCGAAGGATTCTGCCCAGAAATTTTTAATGGAAAGGAGAAAAAAATGGAACGAAACTAGGAGCTTGAAGAGCAAACCCAGAAAAGTGAAGAACAGAGAACTAGAAAAACCAACGCTGTCCAGAAAATCTTCAAAGAAAAATCGAAAGAAACGAAATTAAACCTCCCAACCTGCCAATCTGCATTAGGAATCGTGGAATGAGTGTAACTGAACCAAAAAAAAAAAAAAAAACGATTGAGTAACAAAATCCAATAATGGATAAACTGCTACCCAGAATTTGAAGACCGAGAAGAACACTACAGCTAATGCCCAGAAAACCCAGAAAAACGTAGCAATTATTTTCCCCTAAAATCTTTTAATTTTTTTTCTCTCAAACCAGAATTCTCTCTTCTCTTCCCTCCTTTTTCTGTGAATTGAGACCCTTTTTTATAGGCACGAATTTGCTTGATTTTCTCCTAGAATCAAAACCTCATCCCGAATTTTTCTGTCAAAAATCTCCTCTTTAATTCAGTTAGCTAATCAACAAGAGGAAAGGGGATTGGTGGCTGCATGATCCTCTGTCAAAATTAATTCAGTCAAGAATCGTGAAAAATGCAAAATCAAAATAGGAAATTTATGGAGGATTTGAGTAGATTTTTAGAAAGATTTTTGGAGAGAATTTGCATTGGGAAGGACGATAGGCCGTTCTCTCCATTTCAATATAATTTTAATATTTATAAAGCACAATCTTATCAATTGAGTCCCTATAGAATGCATTTTAGGTTTTGAATTATCCAATTGATTCGATTATATCTTTAATTACCTCAATTATACTTTCTTGTAAATGTAATTGTGTCCTGGATGAATGTTTTTGTATTTTCTACCTATTTTCACTTTTCTTGCATTCTCATTACTATCCCTTTTTTTTTTTTTTTTTAATCTTTTCTCATTTTTTATTTTGGTTTTTTTGTAGTAAAGTTCAATATGAAATAAAACTAAATAAAATAAGACATAAATAATAAGTAAAAATAAAATAAACATAAATAAATATAAATTAATTAATTAAACAAAATGAACAAATTTTGGTTATTATAATGTCCATAAGAAGTTTCTAAATTATTAATTAATGTTGCCAAAAATTCGGATTTAGAAATCAAATCATCATAATAAATAATGATAATAATAAACTCTGATTTAAATATAGATAGTAGGTTATCTGATTAATTCTAACCATGTGGGGCTCGTATGTATTTATTATAATTTTTTTTTTTTTTTTTGACATAGAGATATATAAAAATTAAACTTTGATTTAAAATTTGTTTTCAACCAAATTCACCACTAAGCTAGATGCTAATTAATAAAAGTAATAAACCTTGGGAAATAAATTATGATTGGTCCCTAATTGACTGATTAACATTCATGTTCACCTAATAAATTGTCTTGTCTGACTGATTCACAGACACAATCATTGAAAAGAATGTTCACAATCCGATCTCTAATTAGGTTGAATGGATATATAGTGAGGTCACGTCAAAAGCTGGTCCTGTCTCTAGAAAGTTGGTTCGTCGACATTCGAAAATATTTGCATTAATCTGTATGGTAATCCAAATAATGACAAAAAATTTCCATGGTTTAATGCATTGCCTCTTCATCTCGTCAGACAGCTCTCACCGTGTTGCTTCCCACTCAGCTAGGATTGATCACTGAGTCAAATCTGCTACATTTTTTTTTTTTTGGTTGTAAATTTCTTGCATTCATACATAATTCTACAAACTTCTCTTTAACTTTGGTGCAAATGATATAAGCAACGCTCACGATATTTGGTTGTCTATGATCGATAAGCAGGTGAAAATTAAAATACCAATATTTGATTGAATTGATCAATTAATGAACAAAATCTGATCAACATTTGGTGGTACTACCAGATGAACTATAAGCAACTTGTTTTAGAACAATATTAAGTGGAATCGAAGGCAACGTCATATTGAAGAGATCTCATAATCAATTACACTAAAACCTTTAATAATCATTATCAATGTTTAATTTATTTTAATTAGGCATTTGCATTTCACACAGACACAGTAGACTTACCGTACGCTATTTGAAAAGAGAAAACAACAAAAATAAATGACAAGAAATTTAAAGTAGTAGCTAGCTAGGTTATGCTGAGATATTAGTGATTTGTTATACAAACTTAAAAGTATAGATGGCTAATTAATCTGTAAATCTTAGAGAATAAATTACAGTAAATTATAGATTAGTGCCTTTAGTTTTGCAAAACAAATTAAATAGTCTATTTTATTTCAAAAATTAATTAATTAGTTCATTGATTAGTGTATCATAGTTAATTAAATATTATTTTGTTTAAAAAATATCATATTTTCTCTTCAATCTTTTCATATTTTAACTTATTTTTCCTTTCTTACAACAAAAAAATTGAAAAGAAAAAAATTAATTTACAAATAAATTTAAAAATATAGGAATTAATTAATTAGTGGGTTCGGATGAAATATAGAGAGAATTAAAAAAAAAATCAAGTATGAATGAAATTATTATTATTAGTGAATTCGGATATGATTTTTTTCTATTTTTTATATCATCTCTCTCCTAAAAATGAATTTAAAAATAAATATTGTTAGTTACTTTTGAATATTTTAAAATATCTCATACATATGGAAAATAAGTGTTATGAAATGAATCAAGCAAGAAAAATAGAGTAAAAAGACAAGAACAATCGTTTAATACAAAGACTTATATATTTTTACAATTGTGTTACTTCACGACTGCATTAAGATTTTTATTAGAGTTTTATCAAATGATTGATATAAATGCAAGAATATTTTTTTATGTATAGTGTGGACAATTAAAGTTATAATAATAATAAAAATAATAACAAAGTCTTATGGGCCTATAATCTCGTTCGTTAATCGACTAGCAAGACCGTCATCTCGCATATAAATTATATTCACATCGGTCTTCATAATTTAACAATAATATCTATCATTTTACGTTATAATTACAACAATCTACCTAATTAATTAGGTAGCCCTTCTTTGTTTCCTTGTCATCGCATCACATCCTCCTCTAGCATAATTAAATTTGTTCAATAGTTTGGGAGCTAATGTCCAAAAATAATGCTTTGATACGCAACATTAATTAACTCAAAAGAAAAAAACAAAAATCAGTCGTTGAAACTTCACCTCAGCCAAATACAATTACATCATTGAAGAGGTCATGTCGCCATGATCAGAAGCATTATTTAATCTTTAAATATATTTTTCCTTTTATTTTATTTTATTGTTGACTTCAAAACCTTTAAATATCTTGATCAATGCATCTTTAAATTGTTTTTTCAGACAATCAACTAAATTAAAAATGATCCTAGGTGTATTTTAGCTATGTTGGGCCCGCATATGTCCGACAATACAAGAAACCAGCATCTTCCCTCTCTGTCTCTCGGTTAGGTTAGCAAGTTCTGTTTCATTTTTGCTCATAAAGAAGAGAATTGAGAAAATCAATAGAAGGTGAGCACATCAAGACATGGGAATTTCTAGGTCCATTATTGTTAATTTTTGTTTCTTGGTGTTTTCTGCAACCCTTCTCGTGCCAACAAGCTGCCACGATCCTAAGCATGTTGCCTTATTTATCTTTGGAGATTCCTTGTATGATGCTGGAAACAATAAGTACATCAAAGACAGTCCTATCTTTGCCGATTTCTGGCCATATGGAGAAACCTTCTTTAAGCATCCCACCGGAAGGCCTTGTGATGGTCGATTAATTCCAGATTTTATTGGTAAGATAACAGTTATTATTCCTCCATACTTTTTTGGATTTCTTTTCAACTTTACTTTCGTTTACGAAATCATGAATTGTGCCATGTTGAAACTTATGCTGCAGCTGAATATGCAAATTTACCCTATATTTCTCCGTATCTACAACCCGGTAACCATCAATTTATCGATCGATTGAACTATGAATCAAAAGGGGCTGGTATTCTTGCTGAAACTCATCCTGGGATTGTAAGTATGAGATCTTTACTTAGTTTAATTTCATTTGATTTTTTTTTTTCGATCAACATGTCCATTTCAAATATGTGATCTTCAATTTCATTTTGGTCCGGTTCCCTGGAAGGTGATAAGCTCTAAAATTCAGCTACAACTACAATCCAGTAATCATCAATTTATAAATGGAGTGAACTTTGCATCATCTGGAGCTGGTGCTCTTGTTGAAACTCATAAAGGAATGGTATGTCGAGAATGAAAAGTTTACTATCTTAGATAGGATTTTCTTGGCATTTAAATTCTGTATTTTTCAAATTTTTTTATTAAGAACTTTTTTTTTAATTGAAATCCATTATTCTTTGAGATTTTTTCTTCAAACCTTTTGCTATAATGATATTATTCAATCGACACTTAGCATTATACAATAAAAAATGTCAAAGAATAAAAATAGTATGTCGATTATTAATTAATAATGTTATAATGAAGGATCTGAAGTAGTAAATTTTAAAAAATAGAGGGCTTTAATTACATCAAAAAAATATAGAAGTTTTCAATAAAAAAATTAGAAAAGTATAGAGTTCAAATGTGAGAAAAAAACCCGTCTTAGATATGTTCTATAATTGTGTGCGTTATTTTGTGTTTGGTTTTTCTGTTTTTTACCCCTTTTCTTGAAAGGCGATAGACCTTAATGCTCAACTAAGCTATTTCAAGAATATGGAGACGAAGTTAAGGCTTCAACTAGGTGAAGCAGAAGCTAAGAAATTGCTGTCCACCGCAGTTTACATATTCAGCATTGGAGGCAATGACTACTTTGAAGCTGTAACACCAAGTCACAGTTTGCCGCAGCTCAACTCCAGAGAAGACTATGTAGGGATGGTTATCGGCAATATAACAGCAGTGGTCCAAGTAATTTAGCTTGCTATAAAATAATTCTCTCCCTCTTTCTTCCCAAGTTGGTCAGAGATTATGATAGCACAATTGTGTTGCAGGAAATATACAAGATAGGAGGAAGGAAATTTGGATTATCAAAGTTGATTGCTTTGGGCTGTTTACCATCCTTCCGAGCAGCTAAAGAGGAAAGGACAGGTGAATCAGGGTGCATGGATGAAGTTACAACGTTTGCAAAGTTACACAATACAGCACTCTCTAAAGCACTCGAAGATCTTGAGAGACAGCTAGAAGGATTTAAATATTCAAATTTTGATGCCTACACTGCAGGGAGTGAAAGAATTAACAATCCTTCAAAATATGGTAATCGCTCTTCACGGATTCACTAAATTGACTCAAATTTGAAATGTTAATTCATTAATGGAAAAATAAATCTAAATAATAGGTGATTAATTGACAATTTTGTATAGCTTAGAAATTACACTTTGCCTCTTAAACTTTCATACACATCTTAGCTTGAAAATAGGGTATGCACCGTTGAAAAGATCTGCACTTCTAAGTCACTCAGGTTTGCACCGTCTGTATATGTTAGGATTTATATGAAAAAATAGACTTCATTTGAACTCAAAAAGTTACATCTTACATAAGCATATTACTTTTCTTATTTCTTTTCAACGCAGAACAATTAGTACTTATATATATGTCTAGCAACCCAACAAGTCATGCAAGTCTACATTTAGGCCTACAGGCATTAGGATTTATACACAAAAATAGATACAACTTTAATTCCAAAGTCTAAACTAATGGATTATAGATTCATTTTATATATAAACACAGTTTTTATTTCTCTTCAATATAGTATAATTATCATTCACATCTATACCCACCATGGACTGCCCTATTATGCACAATCTACTAATTGCACATAGTTTTCCCATCCCTGGTATGAATTTAAATATGATTTAATTATATATGAAGGTTTCAAGGAGGTTGAAGAGGCATGTTGTGGCAGCGGTCCTTACGGAAGCTTCATGACTTGTGGTCGAGAAGGATATCAATTATGTGATAATGCTAGTGAATATTTCTTTTTTGATTCGGCTCATCCAACAGAGAGTGCTAACTATCAATTTGCGAAACTAATGTGGAGTGGAAGTTCTGATATTGTGAAGCCTTGCAATCTTAAAACACTATTTGAGGAATAACTGAAAGTAAAGTTTATTTTCAATAAAATGTTACATCAGTTTTCTCATTGATTTATAAATTGGCTTTTGATTTGTAGAGAAGTCATACTAGCTTTGGCACATTTTTTTTTTTTAAATCCTCTAAGGTATCTCGAGCCAAAGGTTCGGACTAATCTTTCGCTATTTTGTCGAGCACACATGACGAAGACAGACTACTCAAATAGTATTTTTTGTACACATAAGGAATTTTTATTTAAATGACTAGAGTCTTTTCCACTCAAACTAACAATCTTTGGTAGCTTTGGCCAACATTTATCCGCACAACAATCACCTCTTGTGTCGCTACGTAACGTTCAATGGGATTCTCAAAATTTTACAATTTTTTGTTATCAAATTTGTTTGTCTATGGATATGAGTTTTTATTAATTTTGGAATCACCATCTAATATTAAAGGTAACTAGAAACCTAAAATAAATACTGATTCAAAGATTCTAAGGTAAGGAGATAGTGATGCTTTTGAAAAAATATCAATTATGCAAAAGCATAATTTCCTAGAAAATGTATCATGTCCGGTTTAGTCCTAAAGTTTATTTTCTAAAAATGTCTATTTTTTGCCAAAATTGACCCTAAGTCAAAATTCTCAATTTTATTTCCTAAGCAAAATTAATTTTTTGATTTTAATTTATAGCATCATACTAAATCGATTATCGAGCCCCACTATCGGGAGTCTCATTAGTTCAATATCAAATCCGAGTTTAATTCTTAACATAACGAGATATTTTCAAGAATGACCTAATGTAACACCTCCAACCTAGGACCTAAAAAGTTGAGAATATTATCGTCGATAATCTATATTCGAGATGCAATGAATGCAAGTTGACAAGGCACCGTGGCTTGATCTTAATGTTTAATGTGTAATCTATGCTAAATAAACCTAACATTGGCAAAGTAGGTCTTATATTTAAGCTAAAAATGCATTATAATTTTTTTGTGTTTTATTCTTTTGTTTACATTCTTTGGATTGGAATAACTAGATTTGTGACAATCGATTATCCTAATTTCTTTGCTCATTAATTTATGGAAATTTATTTAGTTGTAATCCATTACTCGTTATAATTATTATATTATTTATTCTTTTTCTTATTAATCGTCTCTTTTTATTTGGCACGCGTCTAATCATATTGCCTTAATTTTCTAAAGTTACTAACATGCAATGAATAATTTAAAATAACTACACTACTATACCTACACTATCATTTTACTATTAGTACTTTGGTTACATACAAACTATTGTTTACATACAAAATTGGTTATATGCCAACTACTATAAAATTGACTTATTAACTAACTACATCATTTTAGAGGTACTCCATTTACTTGTTCATTGCTTTTTCTATAATATAAAACAAACCAGACTAACCTTAGTACATAAAAGACAATAGATAATATCGAAACAAAATAGCATGCAACATATCCATTTAGAAGCCGAAACCTCATCCAAGGTATATACGTCCGGTGCATGATTCGAAAATCAGCTTAGCGGAGAAAAAAGCCATCATACCTTAATTATCTACATAAAAAAGAACTAAGTGAGCGATAGCCCAATAAGTTAACTTATGCATGTCATATATGTGTATGTATATGCATGTGCAAAATACCGATATATGCATGTCAAATCCGTTTTTCATTTCATAATACGTTTCATGATCGATCCGAAAATCATTTTTTATCTTTGGACATGTCTTATTTAGGTACTTCAAGGTTTCCATAATATATGTTTGGTGAACCGGATCAATCTACAAACACGTCCTCTCAAGCCTCCGAAAGTGCACGTCCGCATTTGTCCGATCTTGAATCATTACCATTATCGTATGGAAAACCCTATATAAAAGACAATAGCTAATATCGAAACAAAATAGCATGCAACGGATCCATATAGAAGCCGAAACCTCACCCAAGGTATATACGTCCGGTGCACGATTCGAAAATCAGCTTGGCAGAGAAATAAGCCATCATACCTTAATTATCTACCTCAAAAAGAACAAAGTGAGCGATAGCCCAATAAGTTAACTTATGCATGTCTTGTAGGTGTCCGTATATGCATGTGCAAAATACCGATATATGCACATCAAATTCGTTTTTATGTCATAATACGTTTCATGATCGATCCGAAAATCATTTTCTATCTTTAGACATGTCCTATTTAGGTACTTCGGGGTTTCCATAATATATGTCTTGTGAATCGGATCAATCTACAAACGCGTCCTCTCAAGCCTCCGAAAGTGCACGTCTACATTTGTCCAATCATGAATCATTACCATTATCGTATGGAAAACCCATGATGCCCTTCCTTATAAAAATCCTCAAGGTTATGAAAACCACGCTCTTTAAAACATTTCTAATTTCTATTGGAAAATTAGGAGGTAAAAACATTTTTTCATAACTTTAAATCATTTTCCATGAAATTAGACATGCATAAGCATTTTACTCGGTAATGCATAAATAATATTGACTCATGAGATGCATGCCATGAATAATCATGCAATCATGTCATGATAATTTATAAAATCAACAATATAATTGCATTAATAATATTACCTTGCCTAAACAATATCAACCATCATAATCCATACCATTACAAACAACATGACATCACCATCATCCACATTTCACAAAATACAACATCCAAGATTCAAATATATTAACCACCATTCAAAAACAAAATTAGACATAAAAGTTAAACAAAACAACCAAAATACCTAACTTCCTAATTAAGGTCGAATTAGGTTATAATTTAACCTAATCATTTTCTTCAATTATTTACATCCAACTCACTCCAAAATTTTCCCCAATTTAATTCTAATGTCATGAATTAACCTAACTAAGTATCACTTAATTAATTACTAGTATTAATTCCAATTTGGGCCTTAATGGGCCCAAACTCTAATGTTACCATTATAAGTCAATTTCTAGTTTCTACTAGAATCTTTCAATCTTATTGATTTTATTATACTATCCTAAGATCAAATTAAGCAATTTTAAGGTTTAAATGCCAATTAGAATTAAACCCTAAATGTGACTATTCTAGGTCGAAACTTACTCTAGTTCAAACCCAATTAACTCCTTCTCATTTACTTCTAAATTTTTAACACTAAGTATTTTAGACTTACATTATCAATAAGAATTAATCTAATTAACATTTAAGGTACAATTTCATGTCTAAACCCGAATTGGGTCTTAATGGGCCAAAATTAGGCCTAAGTCAAATTAAGCAATTTTCTTCAATTTTCTAGAAATATTACCTCCCTAGTCATCAAATTATACTCATTCAATTACTAATTGATCAAAAAAATCATGAATTAAATGAATGAAACTCGAATCCCTAAACTTCCAAGTTTAGGCCGAATGTAACCCTAGGAATTTCATGAATTTTTCTTCAAATAAAATGAGGTTTTTCATTCCTAAACACTAATTCATATGTAATTAAGTCATAATCTTGCTCTAAAACATCAATTACATGAAAGCATCAAAAAACCCCAAATCACTACTTTAGACCGAATGGTAACCCTTGAACAACCCTAGAGATTTTTTAGTTTTAAACCTCAATTTCAAGTCCAATTAACATATTTAAACCTTGATTGAATGAATTACAAGTTTAATTTCATTTTTCTCAATTTTATTTCATCAAGAACCCTAACCTTAATTTTAAAATTAAAGCTAAAATTCACAAATTAAAGCACATAAATCATAAATTAACATCAGTTGAAAAACCTTTTGTGATGTAGATGGAGTTAACTTACCTAATTCAGCTCCAATTAAACCTTAGAAGTTGGATAATTTGAGAAATTTTCTTCCTTCCTCTTCCTTCGCTATTTCGCCCTAAGCCTCCAAAATTCCTCTTGATGAATTTTGATCTTCTAACTTGATTTCTTGGCTAGATTAGTTGATTTGAGGTGTTTGGAAGTGATTTTAGTGGATTTTGGGTGGAAATTTCAAAGGAAATTTTGCAAGGGTTTCCTTTGGTTTTAAGTAATTTCCATGCATTTTCTCTAATTTCTTGCAACCCTATTTATTGGCAAATTTTTGGTGGAATTTTGACCTCATCCTCACCATTGAGTTGCTGTGTTTTGAAGTGATCTTGGCCTTTAAATTAAATCTTAATCCTAGCCCTTCAAATGGACAAGTTTCTAGCCTTTAGTTTTTCTTTAATTCCTAACCCTCCATTTTGCATTCTTTTTAACCTTTTCTTTTTAAGTGAATCAAAGCTCATTAATTAAGCCCTAATCATGCAGCAAAATTTCTGCTGGAAGGGTGGAGACGTGTCAAAAATTTTCCTAAATTTTAGTCCCTCATTTTACTACTATTTTCTCCAATTACTCTTTCAAGCATCCTTTTTTTTTTTTTCAATTGATCACTTGAGGTCTTTCTCTTAAAGGTATCTTAAAAAATTTTAAACTCCTTATGTTCATAGCTAATTTAATTTAGAAGTTCAAACTTTTAATTTTATACAATTAGGTCCCTAATTTCTATACAATTAGGTCCGTAATTCTAAACTTTTATTCTACTTTTCCAAAATTCAATTTCTCTTCAGAATAAATTCAAAATTTTATTAAAAGTATTTAATCATAATTTAGATAATTTTTATACCCTCATTTACGTCTCTAAATTAATTATTTAATGTAAAAATTATACTATTTCCTATAACAAAATATTCCTTATACATGAAAAAATTAATTTAAATTTAATCCTACACATTCCAAATGATTTTCCTATGCCTTTTAAAAAATTCCTCATACTTTCTAAGTGTCTAATTTAATTTTTTTACCTCTAAAATACTATTCCTACACATAAAATTTCAAATAAAATATTCACAACATATAAAACAAATTCACATAAATAATTCAACACTCCTCTAAAAACTATTCTGCACAAATAAAATATTTTTCATGCATATGCAACATGCTCCAAATTATTATTTCATGTAAAAATTACTATTTAAATATCTGTAAAATTAATAAAATATTCACTAAGCATAAAAAGACTATTTTAACTACTCCAAATATTCTTTTAAATCCTTAAGGATTATTTTACACCTCCAAAATATTTCTCATACGTGGTTAATATTTAACTTTGATTTAATTTTAGTTTTACTTGGGTATCGGTTATTATACCTAATTATTAAAATATGATTGATTTGAGTTAATACTAATTCCTATTAGATATAAGACTTTGCTAATTTTCACCTAGCATTCTCTCTCTATATATATTTTTCTTCTTTTTTTTTTTTTCTCACCTAGCATCTTCTCTCTCTCTCTCTCTCTCTCATTTTATCAATTTTTTTTCCTTATTTTTTGTTGTTTTTTTATCTAACTAATATTTCCTCTTTATTATTATTATTTTTCAATTGATTTTCATTTCTATTTTGTTGGACTTTTGGATGTGACACGTTAAAATAGATGTAATGCTTTAAAAATTTTAATCCAAGTCGTAACATTTTGAAGCAAATTTGCAATAATTATAAATATCCATTCGGCGGAAAGTCGCTACTATTGAATTCACTACAAGAAAAAATTGATATAGGGGCAGAATTCTTGAGGTGGTTTACAAAACCACCTCAAAGCCTTTTAGTATTTGCACCGAGAGTGGACTTTTATAGGAAACCTTTGGGGCGGTTTTATGATGTAAGAGGCGCGAATTTTATTTCATTATTATTTTTTTTTAATTTGTTTCGAAAGGGGGAAAGTCGTTTCATTTTCCCTCTCCTTAGGGTTTCCCGACTTCTCTTCCACTCTCGATTTGTTGCTTCCTTCTCCTTCGATTCTTCATTGGAAATTTCTTTTGGTTTTGAAAGTGATAAGATCGGACATAAGTTTTCCTTCTTCACTAAATCTTCTTCTCCTCTACTTCTTGTGTCTTCTCGCTCTCGCTACTAAAAAATTTTCCCTCTTCACCGGATCTTCTTCTCCTCTGCCTCTTGCGTGTTCTCGCTCTTCTTGTTCTTTCTTATTTTCAATTTTTATTTTTTGTGAAAGGGATACAAATGCTGCATTATCCCGCTCCTCTTAGGGTTTTTCTTCCCCTGCTCGCTTCGTTCGTCTCCTCTCGGGTTTTTCTTCCCCTCTCGTTTCGTTCGTCTCCTCCGGGTTCGTTCGTCTCCTCTTGGTTTTTCTTCCCCTCTACTCCGTTCGTCTCCTCCGGGTTCATTCGTCTACTCGCTTCGTTCGTATCCTCTCGCTTCGTTCTTCTCTCCAAATCAATTGGGCACTCATTGTGGAATTTCTCATTAATCTCTGTAAAGGCAAGTATGGTTAATTAATTTTATGGCCAATCAATTAGATTACCTGCTTCGTTCATCTACTCTTTTCTTTGCCATTGAGGAGGACAAAAGAAAGAAATATAGCAACATATGAGGATGATGCACAGCTTTATGAAATTGAAATGAACTTGCTACTCGTAAAATTAGTTTTGTGATTTCTTGGATTGTCTTTCATGGAACTACTTTATTTTCTCCAAATGCTATGTAAATTATGCGAAAATGCTTTATTCTGATTTTAAAGAAATCAGGACTAGGAGTTGAAGTGCCTACGTTCAAAATTGTTTTGCAATGATGTGCAATATTGCATTGTTGTTCCAGGCCGCCCCCACCCCCGCTGGAAGTTTTTAAAGAAATCTAGTTTAATTAGATTGTAACTTTTTACTTGAACTGCACTAATTATCGAAAATTGCGTGTTAAGTTGCTGACTGAGATGTAGAACTGCAACCAATTTTGAAGTTAAAAGCTCTTCGGTTAATTTCATAAATACTGTTTAATGATTTTTATTTTATTATATATACATATATATTTTGTGTGTGTGTTTTATTTATCTTTAAATGTAAAGCAGGAGGTATCCATCTCTCAAATTTCCGATTGCGATTCAATATCTTTTGGAAGATATGCTGCAGACACACTTGCATGGGAAAAATATTCTGTTTTCTCCCACAACAAACGTCAGGAGGAGTTGGAGAAATTCAAGGCACCAGGATTAGTTACTCAGAAGAAGGCATACTTTAAGGAATACTATAAAAAAATTAGAGGTATGAAGGGATTGCAAGTAGAGTAAGAAACTCCTCAAACTTATCCCAATGAAGATGGGAAGGAGAGTACTGCACAAGAAGAAAATGGTGTTGATGCTGAAGCATCGGAAGAGGAAAGTAAACCTAGAAATATTAGTCAGGAAGCAAATGGTGCTGATATTCACAGATCAAAAGAGGAAAATAAGCCTAGCAATGCCTATAAAATTCAGATTTTAGATAATCATACTACTGCTAATAACCCATCCACAAGAGGCATTAATGGCGGAGCAGAAGAAGAAAGTTTCTTTAAAAGGAACAGTGGTAGAGCTAGCAAAGAAGATGGAATGGGGGTATGCTTATAGGCAGAATAGCAAAACATTCTGTGGAAGGCGGTTCTTCTGCATGTACTCCATCAGTCAAAAGCAGTTCCAAAACTACCCAGAAATGGGGCCCTGTCAGCAATGAAGTCAAGCGTAGTGGAAGCCAACTGGTGAAGCAAGCATTTACTATGAGGGAAAAGGTAAACAATTAATTTTCATCGCAATTCACCTCTCCTTTACCAATCCCAGGATTGATAATTCATCAAGGATTTAATAATCTTTCCTTATAAATTTGTATATCAAACACAATAATTTTCTCTTTTAAGGGATGGGCTTTTGATCTATGTTCACCGAAGGTATCTCTATCTTGTATGTAAATACGAAAAGAGCTTGTTTCTACATGCACTCTGGCTAGTTCCTGATATATGGAAAATCTGTTAATCATTTGCTTTGAATCATGCGGAGATTGGAATGAGAGGAGACCAAACACCAGGAAACAATGACAGATATTCTTGGTTATATTTTCTCTCATTTCTTTATTTGACTACCTTATCATAGTGGATTGCAGGCCATTCAACGGAAGCCCTATTAAGAGTGCAATCGTGGACAAAACCAAATTCCCCCGCTACCAAACACACCTCCTCCCCCCGCCCCGGCGCCTGATTAGGCCCTTGCTTTTATTTTCTTGAATAAGCTCTAATAAGTATGTTGTGTTTCTAGTATTTATGATTATTACACTACCATTATAGTCTGCCATGATATTGAAATGGTCTCTGGTCACATTAAGCTTACTTACTTTTTATGTTCTCTGGATTTATGTTAGGCTTTCTGTTTGTACTGTCAATTACCAATGACAGCATTCTAATTATCAACTTTAATTTGTGTTCTCAACCATGGAAATGTTGCTTCTGCTGTGAACAGAACATAGTTAGACTGCAGAATGAGCAAAGATGTGGTTAAGCCTTCTGAGAAGCCAAAGTCGTCAGTTTGTAGGGAAATTACGAGCAAGGCAGATGTTAGTCTTGTTTCAGGCAAAAGAACTACCTCTAAGACCGTAAGCAAAATAAAATCTGAACAGGTTCAATCACATAGTCAACATAGGGATGTACAATCCAGTTCCATGGTTTGTCGTGGTTCATTAAAAGAGGAAAAGATGGTCTCACTTTCTTCAAATATTAGAGATGGTCCACTTAAAACACATTCAACTCCCAAAAGCTTGGCAGACAGGCTCCCAGCAACATCATCAGTTCTTACTCGATCTGGTCAGGTAGATCATCTGGTCTGTGTTCACTTTGGCTTTCCAGTCTTCTCTGCTTGTTAATGATTTTCACTGATTGTTCATCTGCATTTATATGCGCAGAGAAGTTCAAAAGAGATGACCACCATTAGTCGTTTCAGAAAAATCAGTGTAGATAACAGGTTTGACATTTCATAAGATCTCTCTCTGTTTGTCTAACCAACCCCCCACATCAGGTTTTTAACTTGGATAATTTTTCAGGAGCTGTGATGGATTCGGTCAGAGGTCTTTAGGGTTGAGTGGCCACCATAGTCTTCCAAAGAATAGAGAATCTGAGAACCAGAGACCAAAAGTCATGTAATGTTTCATAATTAGACCTCTCTTCGTAGAAGTTTATAGCATTTAATACTTTTCTATTTTGAGTGGACTATTGCCAACTGCTTCTGTTAATGCATTTTGCATTTTAATGATGATTTAAGGTTTTAGAAATTGACTTCGATTTCTTCAACAAATATCAGGTTTAAAAATCTTCCTGACAAGAATAAATCAAATCAGAACAATGGACTTGAGTGTGGACCCATCAGTTCTGTCAAAGGATGGAGGCAGAAAAAGGTAAACCTAATTGTGTATCTTCTATAGTCAAGTTAAGCATGCATGGCTTCTAGGCTAGTCATTATGATTCTAAACCCTTGCTAGGGGTCCTGCTTGCAAAATAGTCTTGTAAGTGAATAAGAATGGCCATGAATGGATCAAATACATGTGTGTGCGCTGTTTTATTATTGTACTGACTGTGCGCATATAAATACTAGAATATTGAAATAAAATTTGCAAAAAAAGTTTAGAGTTTATGCTCTTTATAAGTTTTGATAAGAAAAAATCAGCAAAGCAAATGTTATTCACGGGGAAATATTTATGTTTTCCCCCCTTTTTAGCGAGAACTCGTAGAACTAGAAATAAAAATTAGTTTTCAAGATGATATAGATGATGCGATTTTCTATGGAAGATACTGAAAATGATGCAAACGGGCTAAAGGTTGCACATGTTGTCTTATATAACACCATGATTCACTCTTGTCAAATGTGTTTCCTTTGTGTGTTTGTATATGCGAGTTTTTAACATATATTTTTCTTATAAATTTCGATTCTTTATTCTTCCTTGTGATACTAAAGAAAATACACCGACCAATACATAAGAAGAAACACTAGTCAACTTATCAACTATATATAATTGTATTGAACATGATGCTTGATGGTCATGCTATGGCATCAATCCAGTGGTTTATTCCGGTTTCCTCGCATTTTTATTATGTAGAATCCTCTTTAAAGTATGAACTTGGGAGCGTTATAAATTACAAGAAAACTTATATATAGAGGTCTGTTTGGCTGTTTTTGTGATTTGGAACAGTTCTCATCATCCAAAATTACAACAAGCAATTGAATTCCCATGTAGAAAAATTTCTGGCTACTGCCATTGTCCGGCACTCCATTAAAATTTCAGTTTTTGTGGATTCCATATGGGTCCCACATGATGTGACCTACGAGATGCGGCATCCGGCTACCGAACCATAAGGTCAAATTTTTTTACCATTTATCATTTATTTGCTTATAGTTTTCATTTTTTAAATGGAAGTTGGAAAATTTGAGCCTAGTTTTTATACTTTTTTTCTATTACAAAATTGAAACAAGTTGATGATAAAGTATCCGTAATGATCGATCCAATTAACCTTGTTATGAGATCATAACCCTTCTTCCATCAATTGTTAACAAAATATCTAAAATATGGTCGGTGATGGTAATTTCGGATTGCTACATCATGGTCCGTAGACTCGACATGTGATCGAAGGGATTCAACGTATGAAACATCTACTTTGCCTCACTTTTTAGTCTATCGCATCCGAAACTTTGGTGATTTACTCGTTCATAAATTTGACTCCCGGGAGTACGAAATTTTTCCAAGTTTGATTACGTATTGATGTATGTTAAAACTGTCTCGCACAATTTCTAGACGCTCCGATGCGCACATACATGAATTTATAATCTCATGACAACTATGTTTTGTGTTCCGTGATTAGGTCTAAAACAATGCCATCATGCGGACGAGAGGATGCCTATTTAGCGTTGAGAGTTTAACAAGTAGAGGAAGTTGAGGTCTTGTGATGTTCACGGCCCACCGAGTCATTAGTCCGAGGAGAATGTGCTTGAACTGCAGATGACGGGGAAAGAAAGCATAGTGATTATCAATATAGCTACGGTCTAGACAAAAGGTAGGAAGTAGCTAGAATTTATAACTTTACATTAGGCGAGAAAAAGTTGTGCAAAGAAAAAGAAGAGAAATGGTAATTTTAATAATTTATAAATTTACATTTAAATATTGTTTATGTATGAAATTAGATTAAATATGTATAGTTGTTTGTAGGAAGAAAGGGATGGAAAGGAACTCGATAGGTTGACATTGTATGAAATTAGATTAAATATGTATTTGGAATTTGATAATTTTTCTTTAATTTGCATTCAACAAGATTAATGTTTTCGTAATTTATTTGTTTTTTTGACCAATAAAAAAAATTAAAATTTGAATATGAATTACAAAATTATTTTTTATGAATTCTGAATTTTGAGGCGGTTGTAAATATTGTAGAAAAAACATATATTTTACAACTTGGGGCGGTTGCAAATCTTGCAACAAATTTAAAAAAAAAAAAACGGGGAACGTAGAGGCGGGTCAAAACCGCCTCTACAATTACGCCCCAAAAATTCCTAAAGATGAGCTTTTCCTACTAGAGGCGGTTTTAACCGCCGCAAAAACCAATTACTAGAGGCGGTTCCAACTGCTCGAAAAAACCGCCTCGGACTTCCTCGGCGGTTGGAAAAATTGCCGCTACTTAATAGAGACGGCGGCATTGCGGGCGGTCTCCCAACCGCTTCAAGAATCGTAAAGACGATTATAACTCGCCTCTACGAGTGTGAAAAAATCGATGGGAATACCTATTTTTGGTGTAGTGATTAGACTCGAGGCATGAGATAACGAAAACTTTTCTAAAACGTTAGTAAGTATTTGTCATTGGAATAAAATCATTTTTTAATCATTAGTCAATGCATGTTTTTAAACATTAATCATTTTCTAAAATATATGTGATGGTGATAGAATCGAGAGAGAGAGAGAGAGAGAGACAAATGAGAATGGCGAATGTTTTAGTATTAAAATTGACGGAGAGAGTTGGGCTCATTTAGTTTTAGATTTATATTTTTAACAATAGCATTGAGTAAGAAAAACAGGATGTTGGTGAGTGGGAATTAAAGTATAGGGTTTTAGGATTTCTTGAGAAACTAACATTCTCAAATTTTATTGTATTGTTTTGGTTTTTAAAAAATCGTTTTTTTTTAATGATTTTTGTTTCTATTTTCGTTAATTTCAATTATTATTTTTTTATTCTTAATACTTTTTGGGTGATAATTTTGAAGAAATCATCACCTCCTAGTTTATTTCCAGATTATCTTGAGTTTTCTAAAAATGTGTAGGAAAAAGAAAAAGAAATGGATAAGCATAAGGTGATATTTTGCTTTAACTAGAATTGTCTAGAATTGTAGCAACCAACTTAGTATAGTTATAAATACGGGCATGGCTATAGTATTTTGTACGCCTAGTAATTGAGAGGGTCTTTAGAAAATTAAGTGTGTCTAAGTACTGTGGGTGTTGAGTGAATAAGTGTGTATCCGTGAGAGTGAGGTGAACAAGTGAGTGAAAAATAAAAGAGTGAAACGTATATGTATAAATAAGCAAATAAGGATTTTATGTATATGGAGGTTTTCGTACAATTCAATTTTTTTTATTGAGATCTTTAATTTCTTTTATTCAATTCTTATTTTATTGTTGTTTCAGATCCTAATGTGCTACGTAAGAATTTTTTTATTTTTGTTAAAACCTAATTTGATCCTATCATGATACGTGAAAAATAGAAATACACAGCATACAAAAAGATCTTCAGCCAAATCAATCTGATGAAGTAGTGGAGAAGCAACCATAACAACTTCGAAGATCCAAAAGGCGACGAAGACCACATAATCAGTATGCAAATACAACTCTTGATGAAGAAGATAGTTTCGAGGAGCCAACGATATTTGAAAAAGCATACAAGAGTAATGAATGGAGGAAAGCAATGAAGGAAGAGATAGCATCCTTGAAGCAAAATCAAACTTGGGAGTTGGTGTTGAAGCCAAAAGATGTGAAGACCATATAATACAAATAGGTATATAAAGTGAAGACTCGAGCAGATTGATTAATTGAAAGGTACAAGGCTCGACTAGTAGCTCATGGATTCATATAATAATATAGATTGGACTATGATGAGACATTCAATCTAATGGCTAAAATAACTATGGTGCGTGTCTTCCTAGCCTTAGCTGCTAGTAAGTCTTGAAACTTGTGGAAAATGGATGTAAAAAATGCTTCTTCCTTTTTTTTTTTTTTTCATGGAGAGGTAGACCTCCATATTTATATGGAGCAACCACAAGAATTCAAAGATAAAAATTATGTAGAGTATGTGTGAAAAGTTGTTTTTTTTTTTTTTTTTTTTTTTTGAAAAAAAGCTGTCTATGGGTTAAAGCAAACTCCACTAGCATCGTATGGTAAGTTAGCTGAATTCTTGATACATAATGGCTACACATCAACATTAGTAGATTCAAACCTGTTTGTGAAGAATCAAGGAGTAAAACTAGAAATAATGCTAGCTAGTATATGTAAATGATCTCATTATCACATGAGATGATAAAGTAGAACTTCGAAACTTCAGAGAAAACCTGGCAATAAGATTTCAAATGAAGGAGCTAGGTGAATTGAAACATTTTTTTTGGGGCTCGAGGTTGAATACACAAAGGAAAGGCTATTCTTGCATATAATTATAAATATACAAAGGATCTATTGCAAAAATTTGGAATGCTAGAGTGTAAGGAAGTCTCAACGTTGATGGAAGTCAACGCCAAGTTATGCTCCAAAGAAGGCAAGGAATTAAAAGATGTAGCCATGTACCGATAGTTAGTTGGCAGTTTAATCTACTTGATCATCACTTGGCTATATATTGCATTTGTAGTTGGAGTACCAAGCCAGTTTTTGCAGAAACCTAGAAAACCTCATCTTGAAGTCGCACGAAGAATATTAAGGTATATAAAGTGCACGATCAATTTCGATCTCATGTACAGAAAATGCGTAGAATTTAAAGTTATCGGATATTGGGATGCAAATTTTTTTTTGGAGATCGTGAAACTCGTCGATCAAAAACAAGTTATATATTTCATCTTGGATATGGAGTAATTTTTTGGTGCAGTAAAACGTAATCGACAATGTCGCTTTCTACCACCCAAACAG